TAAATTCGTTATAAAGAGGTTGTTCGCAAGAAACGTTTGCAATGTAAAGGTATATTTTATATTGAATCTTATAGATAATTCAAGGGGATCACGAAAAATTTGTTAAATCGAGGAAGTCGTTATATTGAGGTACGTTATATTAAGGTGGCACTGTAGTATGCATTTAAGTACATGAAAAATGTAAACAAAATGGTCAAATATAACAAGCCTAACAAAAGCCGGACAGGCCGGACGCCGTCTAATTTGTCCGGACACGCAACCAAAAAGCCTGACTGTGTCCGGCTTTATCCCAACGCCTGGCAACGCTATACACGTGCAACTTATGTGTGTAAAAGATTAAAAGGAGTGCAGGAGGGGCTGTCTATAATTCGTAAGTATTTAGCTGTTTAATAGATGTAAAATTTTGACTGCCTCGTTGCGCTAGTCGTTATAACCGCAACATGAGTTCATCATGAAGTCCCGGGTTCAAATCCTGGGCCAAAATCTGTTATTAGGTTCTTATGTCAAGAATTGCTAAGCACCTGATTTCTCTCAGGTTGTGTTGGATTGCCGTGCAGTCAGACTATATCTATAAGAATGAGGGAATAGAAAGCGCAGCTGTGTTCGCGCATACACTCCGGCAATCCTGCGCTGCTAGAAATCAGGCTGGCCGCTGCCTTGACCTAAACCGGGTATAAAGGTTTGTGCAACGTGGCCGAATAACGTGAGGATTGAAGTGATGTGAAAAGAAGACAGTTTGATGGGGTTAGCCATTTAACATTCGACTCGAAGAATCAGTATAAATGTTTATAGAAGTAGGTACAGGAGGATGACCTTAGGTGGAATATATTTTTTATAGAATAAGTGTGTCAAATTGACAAACGAGCACACAGTCCAACATCTATCCTCGATTACGAATAAAAATGCAAATCTGTTGTCACTACTAAGATGGAATGCCTCATTTCCAGTAAAAAGGGTCTCCGGTTCTCTACACTCACCGTACGAAACACAGCAGCATTAAACTAGTGCGTGTCCCCGGTCAAGCGGACCCATTCGTGCTACAACCATATTATAGCTGCAGCGTGCCTTTGCCACGAAGATTTGAATAGATTTTGTAAGTAATTGCTTGCATATGGCATTAATTCTTTGTTTTTGATTTGGGTGTGAACCAAAAATTGGATAGATTGGGTTTATAGGAGAAACATACTGGTGGACCACAAACGTTGGTTGAGGAGGAGATTGAAAGGAGATTAAGGAAAAATATCAAAACCGAGAATAATCAAGGTATGTTGGTTTTGTATCGGAGAGATATCAAAGCTACGCTACTACGAAAATTAAAGAAGGTTAGGAAGAAAAATGTGAGATGTAAAAATGCTATAAGTACTAAAAGGGAAGTAAATAAAATGTGAGAATATGTAAACGGTAGAGCCACCGTATAGCTTGCAGCTATGACACCGACAAAAATATGCTTGATGCTGCTGTGTTTCTTATAGCCTGATCATGCAATATATTTGCGATGGCAATGTTGAACAAATATTCTTATTTGCAAATATTTTTAGAATTTTTACTCCTACGTTGTAGCACGAACGGGTCCGCTCGACCGGGGAAGGACCACGCTCTCACAGAATAACGGCGTAAAATAGTAGCTTAATGCTGCTGTGTTTCGTATGGTGAGTGTAGAGAACCGGAGACCCTTTTTACTGGAATCTAGGCATTCCATGTTAGTCCTCGACTCTGACAGCGCATTTGCATTTTGATTCTCAATTGAGAATAAATGTGGATGTCTATGGGCCACAGCATCCACTTACCATCAGGTGGACTGTGTGCTCGTTTGTCACCCAATGCTATATAAAAAAAATCTAGCAGATTGTTATACGTTCTTATCGTTGTGATGGATGTACTATTTACATTCTCAAATATTTTTAAATGTAGAATGCTCTTAATTTCTCTAATATTCCCGTAAAAGAAACCATATAAGCATTAAATGCTTGTCCAAAGACTCACAACAGAAATCGAATTGCGGATCCGACACCTTGACCTTAAACTCAGTTTAGCAGTCGGTCGTATGCCACTACTAGGCCTACACGGCGCCGTAATTAACGAAAATAATATATAGATACAGAACCTTTTGCTGGTAAAATCACACTTGACTTAAGGTGAAGTGGGCGCCAAAAGCAGATTTTTCTCGCTTTATATGGACTGTTTGGTCGGCCCGCGCGCTATTGAATCGCACAATATTTATTTGATATTTCTTTTTAAAGTTATATATACTCTTTTATTGAAAAATAAGCCCATAATTCACTCACGTATTTACTGGTGAACACATAGCCTGAATTTAATTGAAATTGATTTCAATACAATCGAATGTAACTGCTTTTTCACTTAGTGGAAGTTTCTAAAATTGTAGATTTTGAGGAAACTTTGCGATCCTTTTCTATCGAGCCACAATGTGTCAATCGTGTTTAAGCCACCATAATTCACTAAGAAAAATCTTTAACTTTCATAATGAATTTAAAAAAAATGTGAATTTGTAGTTTTTAATAACAAAAAATTGTACTTTAAAAGCGTGAAAAATCCACAGTCAACTGCGTTCATTTAAACAATTATTCATCAATGCAAGTTACGTAGGTTTTAAGCCGAAATTTACTTTTGTGTTTCTCATTATCAGAAGTTATGGTGATTCACGAATCTAAAGTCTAAAACGTGTTTATAAAACAAAGCCCAGTATTTACCGGGAGACCTTGAATTGTACGTAAGCAAACTGGTCCATACTACATATTCCTCCTTTTAGAAGTTCGTCTGTATTTTTATTGTTTGCTTTGAAATGGGACCGTTTTTTTTTTCTTTTATATCAAGGCAATTGCTTTCTGGACATAACGTATCATATGTCACAAGATTATATTACTTTTAAAACTACTCCTGACATTTTTAAGAATCTTCTAACATATCTTATCAAATAATTTATTTAAAATTGCAGGCTATATATGTTTTACTAGTGGACACAAGCCACCTCTTATTTTCAACAGATATTTAAAGCAAGGAGTGTACACCGTGCTGCCCCAATACGTAATTGCGGAATGTGTTTGAAATTTTTTCTCTCAGATATTCAGATTTCCTCACGTCTTCCTTCACCGCCGAGCACGTAGCAGATTAGCACGTAAAATTACAATTTACAATTTCATTGGTGCCGGCGGGGATCGAACCCGGGTTACTTTTGTTCTGTGAAATTTACAGGTTGCGCTTAGCCCGTGAATTGCCACAGTTAGGAGTAAACCATTTATTTTTACTACTATATATTATTGACTTTTCATATGGAATTAAATAATAATGTAATTTCAATAATTAACAGTGTATATAATTACCTTCGACTGATCGAAAACATTTTGCTTAAAATATGTATAATGATTTCTTATATTTACGCGAACACTATACATTGATTAAAACTACTTTTACGGATTTTATCGCGTTTTATTTATATTAATTTTAATACCCGACGTTTCGGGTGCTTTCCAGCACCCATGGTCACGGGGGACTGAGGTGACTGACGTCCCGATGTCAAAGTTAACCCGGAGTACCTTCAGCTTTTTAATTATTGTTTTTGGTCCGATCTACGCAGAATGAACTAACTGTATTTTGAAATCTTGCAGTGGTATACTTGGGTTTAGTTTTAATTTTATTAATTATAGGATCCCAAGCAGGTGGTAGTACCCAGCCTCCTTCTCTGTTGAAATTAGGATGTTTTTTAATTTCAATAGCCTCACGTATCATCCTTGGTAGGAATCGATGTTCTTTCGCGAGGATTTGTGGTCTATCAAATCTGATGTAATGGTTGGGGCCATCTAGAATATGATCGCAAACTGCAACGTTCCGGGAAGTCTGCAGTTTGCGATCATATTCTAGATGGCCCCAACCAATACATCAGATTTGATAGACCACAAATCCTACTCTACTCCGGGTTAACTTTGACATCGGGACGTCAGTCACCTCAGTCCCCCGTGACCATGGGTGCTGGAAAGCACCCGAAACGTCGGGTATTAAAATTAATATAAATAAAACGCGATAAAATCCGTAAAAGTCGTTTTAATCAATAAAATATGTGTATATACTATATGTGTATATACTATATGTATTTATGAAATCTATATAAAGTCTGGAAAAAATTAGGATGTAACAGGTGAACGGGATAGAAGCCTATGGCACTGATATTTTACAATATTTTTTCTTTTATATTAACGTATTATGAAATTGATCTCTTTGTAAATACTACTAATAATAACAAAGATGTTGTACTAAATAAATATGTCAAAAACTATCGAAATTAGTAGTATTTATTGATTGATAGATCAATTTAATAACATGTTAATGTGAAAGAAAAAAATTGTAAAATATCAGTGCCATAGACTTCTAAAGAAAAATCATTCTGTATATTATATATGCTAGCAGGGCATTACATATTTAAAATGTTAGTACTGTTTATTAAGTAAATACATCGGATATAAATACATGTATGTATATATGTTTAATACCATAGAATACTATAACTATAATACATACATAATAGAACGGGGGAGTGGGCGGAGCCCGTGTAGCCACTAAAATGTCACTAACACGTTAATTCATACGCATAAATGTCAACACGAGACGTGTTTTGACGTTACAATCGTTTCCAAATTTCGAATGCAAATTATTTAGAAAATGTCAAATTGCACGCTATTTACAAATAAATACGTATTAAAATCAGTCTGTCAACACAGCGAATCGGGTTGGTAGTAGTGATAATACTACGTAATTGCTTGTATGTGTGCTCCCGGCGACGCCTATCCTCGTACAAAATAAGGTTGACAGCTATTCTATTGTGTATTATAGTATTCTATGTTTAATACAATATGTAAATACTTAGATAAATATAATTGAATAAAATATATAAAATACGTATACCAATGCAGCACCTTGCAGCACATCTCATTCGCGCGCGTTGTTAGAAGCCTCCACTTACTTTAGATCGAATAAAAACAACTTACCCAACTTACAGGGAACAACTTATAACTGAGGTTCGTGAGAAATTCCTTTTTCTGAGGGTCGAACATGTCTGACGGTTTGAACCCTCTCTTTGTGATGAGAGTACTGTTCACGCTGGAGGAACTTTTCACGTCATCGAAACTATCCTTATGGACGACTCGGTCGTTGATCTTGTGGATGCTGGACATTTTGTTTGAGGAATACTGACTTTCACTTATCGTCATCATCGTTGCAGCTTCTCGGATTTAAACACTAGTTTTTGAACTGTCACTTGTTTCTGTCACGACCGCTCGTTCTGTTGTCGAATGTCTCTCACGTCAATTATTTTTGTTCACTGTAACTAGAATGTTTAAATCGTAAATAATAAACGTTGGCTCAAACGCATCAAGGTTTTGGACGGCTAAAAAGATAATGTGACTAATGCTTGTGTTTGTATCTAGTGTGGGAGGAGTTGCGTTTTACAATGACATTTCATGCTGGAGTCAAGATCAATTAATTGTGAAATCTCTGCAGCGATCGGGAATTGTTAGAAGTAAGCAGCACCTATTTCAGATGTTTTGTTTATGGTATACCTACATGTATTCGTATGTAGACGTTGTAAGTTTTATGAGCGTTTCAACAGTTTCTGATCGCGTTAGAATTTGTTCAAGGGGATTTAAAAGCGTATTTAGGACGCAACGAGCGTGGGCAAACAATTCACTGAGTGCAATTATTAAATTCGAATAATGAATTTTTATATAAATCGTTTCGAAAATGATAATTCAAAAGGTAACTAAATTGGCGATGTATTACAATGTAAATTAAATCTATGTTGTAACATAGATTTAATTGAAGTTAAGGTAAAATATTACTAATTTTATACGATTCTCTTCAGAGCCAGATTTTTACAGGTTTATTTGAACGCATAAAAAAAATATTTCCCTATTAGTCGTTTGTTTGGTTAAGTTAAATATAAGAAAAAGACAAAATTTAACTTTTTTCCATTAATATCGTAATAATGTTTGAACGACATGCATTTTATTATTCATCGAATTAGAAAGGTTGTATACGGAGTTTAATTTTTAAAGAATCCGTATCGCGGAATGTCTTAGTAATTGAATTTGGGTGAGTTAACTAGAAAAGTGTAAATTTTATGTACAAAGGCAGTAATATCACGTACGCATAAGCAAGCTGTAAGAGATCTAAAAAAATTGCCGCCAAAAAGACAAACTAACTAAACAGCACTTCACGAGTACTTATGTACTTAATTTAATTGCGTAATTATTGTTTGCACAAAATAAATAAAAACACAAAAAGACAAATAAATGTGCACCAAACGAGTGTCTTAGCCGCGATAAGATGTCTGACTAACGAAAATAAGTTTTTTCAGACGCCATTGCATAATGAGTAGGGAAGCTTATTTTCGCGTAGAGTGCTAATGATTTTAATAGTTTTCTCGGACAGTACCGAAAATATCCACTTCGTTGGCTGTAGATTGTCTCGCTTGGTCTTTTCTGCAAAAGTCGATGATGCAGGTATATTATGGTTGTAGCACGAATGGGTCGGCTCGACCGGGGAAGAACCACGCTCTCACAGAATACCAGCGTGAAATAGCAGCTTAATGCTGCTGTGTATCGTACGGTGAGTTTAGATAACCGAATTCCCTTTTTCCTAACTAGGCATTCCATCTTAGTCCTCAGGGGTGACAACGCATCTGCATTTTGATTCTTAAACGAAGATAAATGTAGATGTCTATGGACCACGGTATCCGCTTACAATCAGGTGGACTGTGTGCTTGTTTATTTGCTCTAACTCCATTAAAAAAACGCAAGTTAACGCGTTATTGCATCGTCATGATCAGCCGGACATTGGCTTCTGCAAGAATGAAGCTCATACATTTCATGAGCTCGTGGCGATATTATCCATGGTGTCATTCATACCACGCTATTTGCATGGCTTACAAACAATTGCTCCAAGTCTCTATTTTTGTCCTTGTGCCATTGATGTATTTATATATCACAGATTACATAATCTGCCTGAGACATACAGGAGAAAATTATAGTGTGGGTTAACGTTCTATTTATGAATATAAGAACTTATTTTAACATTTTATCGCGTCTACCACGGGCATTGTTCTGAGAAATTTATTCATTTCAGCCACCAAATTTTACGAACGCACATCACGTCAAAATTGATGATACCATCTGGATGCTTGGCGGTCAACCACTGTGCGTTTTACTATGAGTTTTCTTCCTCTTACAATTTCTCTGTGGAATTGTTTACCACCGGCGATTTTTCCGGACCGATACGACTTAGGGACCTTCAAGAAAATAGCTCACTCCATTCTAAAAGGCTGGCAACGCATTTGCAATTCCCCTGTTGTTGCGGTTGTTCTTGGGCTGAGGTAGTCACTTTTTTTTTATAGAAGAAGGGGCAAACGAGCATGCGGCTCACCTGATGTTAAGTGACTACCGCCGCCCATGATCAACCGCAACATAAGGAGAATTGCGGGTGCGTTGCCGGCCCTTTAGAAAGGAGTAAGCTCTTTTCTTGTCTTCTCTCGTATCTGTCCGGAAAAATCGCCGGTGGTAAACTATTCCACAGAGAGGTTGTACGTGGAAGAAAACTCCTTGTGAAACGTACAGTGGTGGACCGCCAAGCATCCAGATGGTGTGGATGGTATCGGGACGTTTGACGTGTAGTGCGTTCACGAAATTTGGCGGCTGGGATTAATCCGAACAATTCCTCAGAGCACTCCCCGTGATAGATGCGATAAAATACGCAAAGAGATGCAACATCTCTTCGCAGCGCCAGTGAATCGAGCCGATTCACTGGCGCTGGCCACTTACCATCATGTGAGACATATAATCGTTGGCCCCCTCTCCTATAAAAAATAAAATAAACCGCTACTATACAGCAATAGTAGATTTAATGCAAGTTATTATATCTAACTTACAGCAACTAAAAATACAAATCAGAGCGTGTATATATTACTTGAAACACACTGTTCGTAATTTATTAAAAGCATGGTCACCACAGCTGGACGCCATCAGTGCCAGAGTCTAATTCTGTACGGCCGGCTGATCTGTTGTTCCACCACGACTACAGTTATGTGCCGATTAATATTTACATTATAACGTCGAATTTAACGAGAAAACATTACAAAATGAAACACCGCCATGTTCCAACTGTAAGTAGCACGAGGTGTGTGCTTCGAAATATCGACTAATAAACATACTTGAACAAGTGACCCACTATGAATACGGTCAATTAATTATTAGCAATTAGCTAGTTCCATCACGTTATAGAGCTACGCACTGGCGGTTTTACAGCTGCAACAATAGGTTAGCTCGACCAGGGAAGGACCACGCTCTCACTGTGCGTGCGTGCGGGCGGCCGTACGTGCGTGCGTACATGCGTGCGTTCGTACATGAAAGCGTGCGTGCGTGCGAGCGTGCATGCGTGCGTGCGTGCATGCGCGCATGCGTGCGTGCGTGCCCGTGCGCGTGTGCGTGTGCGTGTGCGTGTGTGTGTGTGTGTGTGTGTGTGTGTGTGTGTGTGTGTGTGTGTGTGTGTGTGTGTGTGTGTTTTTTTACATAGGAATCAAACCCAGGCCCTGGGGTTCAGTAGTCAAACACTCGTATTGCATTTATTTATTCAGCTAGCGGCTGTCGTCAATAATAAGTGGCAAAAGTTGTCTGATCTTTAGTTGTTGTTGCAATCGTGCGCACAGTAAGTTGTAAATTTCGAATGTTGGCACAAAATGAAATGGGGCTTTCATTCAGGACAACATGTAACACGATGCAGCAGCTGGGATGAGATAGCAATATTTCACTACTACCAAACATTGTAATTAGGTACAAAAGTAAATTTAAAAAAAAATTGACCCAATTGGTGGCGCTGTTGTTAAGGCCCATATTATATAAATTTTTAGTTTTTTTTATAATTATTTTTGTTTATTTTATAATTACTATTTTAACAATTAGAATCTTAAGTATACATAAGATAAGCAAGCTATTTGCAGCACTTAAGGTGGCACAAGTCGCGGGCTCGAACTCATTGGTGGGCGCGGCCAAAAAGCATGTTGTCTCACCTGGCATCGTGCCCGACAGAGATAGTATCAGTGAAGAGCAGTTAGAACGCACGTCTTGTTCGTACGGCATTCCGAACCGTTAGAACAAAAACGAAGTTACACGAACACGATGCACACATACATACCACCCTATTCTGTGCCGCTCGACACTTGCTGAGAAATCAGCAGTACCTGCCTACAAACTCGTACTAAATTATTAGGTGCTGCGTTATCGCTTTTTACTATACCTCTATGGCTCTATAGATACCTAATATAGATTGCTTATTTTATTATGTTTTGTTTTCCCCGGGTGGTCATGCAGCGATCACTCAAGAGTTCACGACGCCGAAGCATGAACTGGAACAGTCATCGCAGTTTATATCCGTACTAGCTGTTGCCAGCGGCTTCAAACGCGTGAACTCGAAAATTATCCCACAGGAACGAAATACCTGAATAAACGGTATCAAATGTGTTATTCCAGACCAGGTATAACCTATCTCTGAGCTAAATATCATTCAGATCCCTTCAGCTGTGATTGAGTAACACACATCTATACATCCAAACTTTCGCATTTATAATATTTAGATAATAATTGTAATTAGTTCTGCCTACCTATAAATTGTCTTCAAAAATACTTACCTGTCTTCTTACTTTGTTTTATATACACACAATATCACTAGATGTAAACATATGTTTTTATCAAGACAAGTGACCCGTCAAGACTGTTTCCTTAGTACCGACGTACTTAGGCAGGTAGGTAGGCAGTTTAGATTTTAGTTTCCACGACGCAGCGACAGTTTGCCAAATTTTGTTGTATAGGTTGTGGGTATCTAGGTAATAACAGTAGGTAGACTACCTATCCACCGTCCACGCCGCGCAAGTGATTCTCGTCCCACCTGTCCGTGCAGTAACCTTTTTACGACCGCGCGAGACTGTCGCAACAAAAACGATTACTACCGAAAAACTAAATAGGTTCCTACCTAACATTCAAATAAAAATATTCTCAAAAAAGCTCAACGAATTCAGAATTTAATTTTGTTAAAAGAAAATTGGTCAAATTAAAAATAAAGGATGAAAATAAAGCATATGGGAATATAAAAATAAATCATATTTATTTGTTACTTATTTCGAGTTTTA